AAGCAAATAGTTTCTGTTATCTGTTATTTACAGAACTAGTTCCTACTTAGTTTGGTGTCAGTCAGATTTTTCAATGTTTTTGAAAGAGGTCTCTTATGCTTAACCAAAGGTTGCATTAACTTGATAAAAAAATACAGTAAAAACAAGTTTGTTGTAAAATACTGTTACAATATAAAATAACTTTTAATATACTAAACAATTTAATTTCCTGTGACTGCAAGGCTGAATTTTCAGCAGCCATTACTGCAGTCTTCAGTGTCTCACGATCCTTCAGAAATCATTTTAATATGTTGATTTGGTGCTCAAGAAACATGCTTGTCTTTGTAATCTTGTTGCTGCTCACCTGATTAGAAGATGGTGTAAGCTTTTAGATACAAAGATCAATGAGAAACATGAGAACAAATTAATTCAAGTGTGTCCAGACTGGTAGCGTTTGAGGGCCCTGAACAGTCAGCAAGAAGAAAATTTAGCATCCATTTTCTACCGCTGTGTGGAAAATAACGAAAGGACGGACACATGAGGTTATTTTATCTTTAGACGTTTGCATATCAGAGAGGAAATAAACCGCATCTCCAATTTCTCTGCACCTTTCTGTAAGAGGATTACAGTCACTTATATCATCAGGCTGTAAAACTGAAACAGGCCTTGATCACGTAGCAGTCTAACTTGAGAGCGGCCATGACTTACAACCATCCCAACACTGGAAGCAGCCGTGGGTTATGAATACTATCAGTCATGGAGGACGCCTCAGTGGCCCCAATAAATCCTTGAGGAGTGACCTGGTCTAACGTGGTGTCTTGTTATATACAGTACAAACAGCATTCTTACCCTGTATACTGAGCATCTGGCCGAGCTTGAGGGCCGCTCCACGCACTTTACACAATGTCCTGACGATACGCTCCGCGTTGGCCTCTGAAAGGAAGGGGCTGCTGTCCAAAACAGACTTCTTTTCACCTATGTGAAATTACAAGTCTGTTAACATTTTGGACTGAAAATACAACTTAAAGGAATAGTTCACCCCAAAAATTAACATTTTCTGATCCTCAGGCCATCCAAAATGTAGATGAGTTTGGAGTAATTTAGCATTACATCACTTGCTCACCAATAGATCCTCTGCAGTGAATGGGTGCCGTCAGAATTAAAGTTCAAACAGCTGATAAAAATGTCACAATAACCCACAAGTAATCCACAAGACTCTAGTCCATCAGTTAACATCTTGTGAAGCAAAAAACTATGCTTGTAAGAAACATTTAGGCTTTTAAACTTTGTCCACCAACATATTTGATTAGAACTGATTTGGACTGTTTTAACTTTTTTATTGGAGAAAGCAATGTTATGGATACTTTTACCCAAAGCAGTGTTTTGAATTTAAAAACCTCTTGATGGATTTGTTTATTACAAACATGCAGGACTGGATTCATGTCGAATACTTTTGGATTATTGTGATGTTTTTATCAGCTGTTTGGACTCTCATCCTGATGGCACCCATTCACTCCAGAGGATCCATTGGTGAGCAGGTGATGTAATGCTTCAAAATTTCGCAAAATCTGTTCAGATGAAGAAACAAACTCATTTACATCAAGGGTGAGTAAAATTTCAGCAAAAATATATTTTTGGTAAATTATTATATATAAAAAAAAAAAAACAGGAATATTCAGCGCAGTAACAACTAATGGGACAAATGGACCCATGTTTTTTTTTTTTATACAGAGGTCCAAAAATCTTAAACAACCACTGTATGTGCCATTTAAAACAAAAAATAAAATCTGTGCTGCTAAGAACCATTTCTATGTAAACAAAACCCCACAAACTGCTGGATCAGGGTCTTCATTATCTCTGTGAGGATATTAGAGCTATTTCAGGATGTGATGATGAGGTCAAAGGTAATCATTATCCAGCATGTCGGGTGTCTACATAGATAAGATCTAGTTACAGACCGCTGTTCTCAGAACACATTTGCACTCTCAGTTCCCATATGCAGTCAGACTGTCATAATGCAACTCTGTAGTCACGAACAAAGCTTTGAGTCTTTAGTTGCAAGCAAGACAACAACAATAAAATAAATAAGCTGGAAAACAATTAAAAATGTCGCAACCCAATATTCAAGATTAGTGCACTAAAGAACTGTACAGGTCTCAAGTCAAAGACTTTGTATTTTAATTTAAAAAACATGAGAAAGTAAAAAGTGGTTCATTCGGAGCACATAAAATACATAATGCATTTAAAGTCAACACCTAAATCAACCCTACATACTTAAAATAAATAAAGCATTAAAAAAATCAAATCAAACGTATATCAAAAAGATGAAAATAAAATTAAATAAAATCTTTGCTTTCATAACCCTTCATTTCAATTTAAAAACTGCAATCTAAAATAGAACATGTTTGTGTTAGTAATATTAAATTAAAATGTAATAACTTTCATCACCTTCAAAATGACAGTATGCTTAACACTTTCATAATGGTACCCTGCTACAAATGCTGTTTCACATTGCTTTTAAACACGCCAAAACAACAGTGGCAGTGTGTATGTCCGACTAAAGCTCTCTCTATGACATAAGAAGATTTGAAGTTGAGCTGAGAGATCCTGGATGATGGGAGGGGTGCACATATTTACATGCACAAGCGGTGAACAAGGTTAAACATTTCAAGAATGAGATAAACTTTTAAGAAGAGTACATTTCAATACTATATTGGCATTTTTCATACCAATTACACAGATGCATATAAATATTTTATGATCTGTGATGCAAAAACGACTTCACTACATTGAAACAGCCTCTCAGCCTTGACAGCAGGCTAATTTAAGTGCACTTTAGATCAGGAAACTGTGTAAATGTTACTGTGTTTATTATTATACATACAGCCCAATTTAAGCAAACACAGACAGTCAAAAGAGCAATGGTGCTCTCCTGCCTAAGAGTAAATAATACCATACGCACACTAGATTTTCAGTTCTGTTTGTACTGAAAGAGAGGACAAAAAAAGGAAAGCTCTTTTCATTGCTACAAATGATGCACATTGGTTAAGATCAGGGTTGTTGTGGGTTCTGGTAGGTAGTGCACATGTGTTTATGTGTGGGTGACTTGAGTTTAAATACCCACAATCTCCTTCCTATTCTTTCATGTCTCCTTACTCACTATCTCGCTGTTAATAAAATGGTTTAAAGTCCAAAAACAAACAAACAAACAAACTCTAATTGCATGCAATTTATCACTTGTAATCATACCATGCCTGATAGCATGTCAATAATCAATAAATGTTCTAATGAGTAATTAGCTATACATTGTACCCATCCAAATTGTAACTGTAAAGTTCAGTTCTAGTAGATAATGCAATTGTCTTACCATTCTTGTCCTCTGATCTTAGGCTTTTTTTTGCCACTTCTGCCAAAGCTCCAATACCCAAACCCACAGCAAGACCTGCAAGGGATTAAAAAACAAAAAAGAAATGGTCCATAAATCAACATAAGTTAAATACTGAAACAGTCATTATCACACACCTCAAATCTGCACTTCCACCATGTAAACAAAACTTTAAAAAAAAGCTGTATCTCTTTTACCCACAACAACACTGGAGCTGTATTATGTCAACTTGACAAAAGGAAACACCGAAATAGCATTTCCAAACCACTGTGGTCAGCACATTTGCTGTGGCAGAGCTGAGAACCAATAACAAGTCTTGGTGCAGTCTTCAATAGTTATGTAATTGTCTGATTACGCAACACTCCCGGCTCTTGAGAAATTTAGGAGGGGCTTGAATTAGGTTGTAAATGAAGCGGTGAAACTAAACCTCAATGTAAACCTGCAAGAAATGGGGCCGACATGCTTTCACCCTGGTGTTTTTTTTCAATGTCTTAACACACCTTACAGAAACACGTGTAGTTTTGATGACAGCTCTTATCCCGGTAAAGTTTTTCATTAAGACTGCTGGGGAAGTTCTAGGTCACTTGCGGTTGATGATTAAACAGGTTCCTGTTTTTATGTCCCTTTATGCCTGCAGGAGTATAAGGGCTTGAGGAAAACACAAGGGGCCATGCCAGTGTGTTCAAACACTGCAGCTTCTGAAGCACTGAATTGCATTTCTTCCTTTTAAAGATACAAAACATTTGCGTTCCATTGCACACAGATAGGCTAATCCATTTGTTTACCCAATCCAGTAAGAATTTTTTAAAAGATTTAATTAAATTAAATTGTTATAATATTGCACAACATACTGTTTTTAGAGTACTATGGTCTATTTGTGATAAAATAATTACAGCTTTGGTGAGCATAAGAGACTTTTCAAAAACATTAACCAATCTTACACATAAACAGAGTAATATGTGCACATATTGTCATAGCAGGGCTCTTTTTTTGCACACTGGCACAAAGTGGCTAAGATGGCTTTCAGATTGCCTGATAGCATGACCAAGGACACTACGGGCCCAAGTCTCATGTTACAAAAACAGAGAGGTATGCTTCTCAACATAAACACAAGGTAAACAAAATGAACAAGCTGCTTAAAAACAGTTGTTATGGCACTGATTTAAGGGCTATATTCAGTCACTAAAATTGAAATGAAAAACGCAACCGCATGAAGGCCTGCCAAAGTGATGTATACTATTCTTGGACACATTTAATCCCTATTTTTAACTATCCAACGAGAGCTAGAGGAATAGAGCCAGAGAGCACGGTTGAACTGGATAGCTCATGTCCAGGAGCGAGGTCAAGGTGAGGACAAAGGTCAGATACACCCATAACATTAAACCATTTTAAATGCGAAAACTACACAAACCACAATATTCAAACATAAATAATGTTTCCTCCAAGTTGTTAGTATAAGTCACAAAATGTTCTACATTTTGTAATGTGACATTTATATGTGAAACAAAATATCTATAAAAGTGATAGTTCACCGAAAAATACAAATTCGGTCATCATTATCACCCTGAAGTTGTTCCAAACTTGTATGAACTTCTTTCTTCTGTCGAACACAAAAGAAGATATTTTGAAGAATGTGGGTAACCAAACAGTTTCTAGTTCCCATTGATTTCCATAGTATTTTTTTCCATACTACAGAAGTCAATGGGGACCAACAACTGTTTGGTTACCTACATTCTTCAAAATATCTTCTTTTGTGTTCGACAAAACAAAATACCTCCTACAGGTTTAGAACAGCTTAAGAGTGAGTAAATAAATAAAATGAGCAATGAGCGAGTAATAAAAAAAAAAAAGATGTTCTTAAATAACAATAACAAAATTAATAATTTAAATTCAACAGATCTAAACTAGGGCTGGGCAAAAAAAATATATATATATATTTTTCGATTAATCGTTTTTTTTAATGACGTTGATACAATATCGATTCTCAAAAGCCGCGAATCGATCTTTTCCGGGATTTATTTCAGCACACATTTAAAATAAGATCTGATTAAGGTGAATCTTATCATTAGTCTTCTCCACTAGATGTCACCCTTATTTACAACAGAAAGCCTGTTATTCCGTCAAGCCTGATTTGCAATGCTCAGGTGAAATGCTATAGTAATACTATAAATCTGCGGAAGCATTTGATATCACGCATAAGGCGCCATGATTTCCGCAATAAATGAATGACGGATGGCGCGGCGCACTGTTTTGTTTACTACACACATATTAAAGCGCATGCTCAGGTGAAATGCTATAGTAATACTATAAATCTGCGGAAGCATTTGATATCACGAATAAGGCGCCACGATTTCCGCAATGAATTAATGGTTTTGTTTACTACACACATACTAAAGCGCGGATGACGCTTGCGGTGTTTTCAGCTTCTGCCGTCTCACTATATGATGATATGAACACGAATGTCATCTCCAGCTGCTCTGAGAGTCACTTCATTAGCATTTTACCGTTTCATTTGAGAAAACTACCGTCATATCACATTCACAGCAGTTGCCAGTTCTTCACGGCAACCCGTCAAAATAAAAGTTTAGTTTAACGTTAAGAAACTGTCAGAATATATTACTATTTGGCAGTCTTAAAACTCAATGCTATAGCTAATAAATATGAATAAATCTTTATTTTAAAGGAATAATCACATCGGTTTTCTTTTTAATTTGAACAGTAAACCTCTGTTGTGCAGCACTTTGTTTGCCAAAAAATAAAAGGGTTTAATTTTCATTTGATTAGGATAAATTAAATTAAGGTTTTATGCCTTCATCTGATTAACAGAAAAATTAAGAACATTTTAAAGGGCCCTATTATTGTTTAAAAAAGGACCCATACAAAAAAAAGTATAGGTTTAAAATACAGGCATGTGGCTTGATTTCTTTTTATTAATTCACCATTTGTAAACTGATGTTTACTGTTCATTTTTAGAAATATCAATAGCATTTGTATTAAAACTATATTCACTGAATGTAATAAAAAAAATCGAGAATCGAATCGAAAGCTTGCGAATCGAAATCGAATCGGGACATCTGAATTGAAACCCAGCCCTAATCTAAACATTACGTTCTAAATTATTGTTAAATATTAAACCAAATGTTCAATTATTAATTACCATTGATCGTTTAAATTTTACATAATTAAATATAATTTCTGCTGCTAATAATAGTAATAATAATAACAACAACAACAACAACATTTAAATTAGCAATGTTAATTAATAATTAAACATTTTGTTTATTTCATAATTTAATAAAGTTATAATGTTTATGCCTGCTGAATTTGCTTAGACACTATATAATATTAGCACACTCCTGAAAGCTGGATGCCACATAAAAGTCATCTTGAATAGACTCGGTATCTTTGATCCCTAGAAGACAAACACTTGTCAACACATTCCCCTTATAAATAAATCCCATAATGCTTCAGTGGTTTAAAGAATGCTGAATGCAAGTACCCGGTCATATTTACAGGTCATTGCAAGTATACACATATGGGCTTGTATTAAACAGGTGTCCAAAGATGTTTTCTTGTAACGGTGGCAGATAAGAGATAACAAACACTTCAACAAATCACCCAGCATGCACACACACCAACAGCAGATGAGAGCAGATATACGTTTAACGTCTCAATTAGTGTTCGTCAGTGGAAAACTAGCGTGTAGTGAACCTGTGACAGAGAGCTACTGTGACCACCAGTGTTTAATTTTCCCATGTGACAGCACTTTTCACTCCAAACCCTCGGCTATATCCATCCATTCGCTGCCTGCACCCGTATTCAGCACTAGTCCTCTGAGAAATCACTGATAGACTGCCATTTGAAGAACAAAAGCGGGTAAAGTTACACACCAGAATGGGACGCTCTATCTCAGGGGAAACAGGTGATGCACATTCTCAGACTAGTTAAGCTCTGTCCCATAATCCAAAGCAGGGGCATTTACAGTCTACGATATTACTGGTTAAAATGCAGAATAACCTTGAGCCCTCAATCTGGCTCTGACATACTGTATGAGGAGAGAGACGCAGCTCTCTTGAACAGGCCTTAGTTTAGAGCATGACTAACAACAATACCAGAAAGGACAGCAACCTGGAAAGCCAAATATACCAATCCAAAAAAAAATGGCTTTCAGAATCAGACAGCACATACTCAGTCTGTTTGATATATTTGGTGGCAACACAGGCTGTGCTAAATCTGAAGTGGACTTGTGGTCTTTGCTTGTTGGTTTGAATGCACCACGCAAAAGCAAAGGTTTTCAGTTACCGATGGTATTGTAGAAATGCCCTAATTACTGTAAGCCATGCTTAATTTATTCCTCTAATGAAAAAGCCCAGTAACAAGAGAGTTAGTAAGTGTAAAATATCCAACTAGCCATGTGATCTAAATATGTCTGCTCACATAATGGTCAGTAAGATATTTAAGATTTAAAATTTAGAGGATAGTTCACCCCAAACTCGAAATTGTCATCATTTACTCTTTACCCCTCACTTGCTACAAAACTGTTTGAGTTTCTTTCTTCTGCTGAACACAGAAGATGGCTGGTAACCAAACATTCAAAACATATTTTGTGTTCAACGGTTGAAAGAAATTCATTCAGCTTTGAAGCAACTTGAGAGTGAGTAAATGATGACAATTTTCATTTTGGGTAAAACTATTCCTTTAATACTTTCATTCAGCAAGGATGCATTAAATTGACCAAAAGTGCCAACAGTATATACATCTACGATGTTAAAAAATTATGTTCTTTTGAACTTTCTATTCATCAAAAAAGAAACCGAAACAAGTATAACAGTTTCCACAAAAATATTAAGCAGCATAATTGTTTTCAACATTGATAATAATAAGAAATGTTAATGAGCACCAAATCAGCATATCAGAATGATTTCTGAAGGATCATGTGACACTGAAGACTGGAATAATGGCTGCTGAAAATTCAGCTTTGCTATCACAGGAATAAATTACATTTAAAATATATTTAAATCTAAAAAAAATTCTTAAATTGTAATAATATTTTCACATTATTACTGTTTTACTGTATTTTTGATTTAAAAAAATTTAAATTTTAAAAGAACCTTACCAGCCCCAAACGTTTCAACAGTACTGTACATACATATACATAAATATATAATAATTTCAGTGACCTTACCTCCAAAATTCGCTAGTCTCCCAAGCCGTGTGACTGGTACCTTTCGCTCTCTTGCTCTTTCACTAAGCTACAGAAAGAAGAGACACACTGTAGACAGTTGTGGAGAACCAGACGCATTAACAGTGCTTCAATATATTATGTGCTTCCAATTACAAAGTATCCTTTTTTAAAAGTACTATTTTCTTAACTCAAAATTACGGTAAATTCTGTGATTTGTTTGATCCTACTAAGACAACATGAAATCAAAAGTAGTGTTTAGTGGTCATACTGTACACCGCGTGCATAATAATTAGGCACATTGATATCTTTTTTTTTTTCCAAGCACATTTGACCAATTCCAAACCACACCAACCTTAATAACTACTATTAATTTTTGTATTTAATCATTTATGAATGATATATAATTGTCCATGAAGGCTGGAAGCGAAAAACTCCTTATATTCAGGTGTGCAGAATTATTAGGCATGTTCTCTTTTACTGATAAAATGAGCCAAAAAAGAGGTTTAACTCAGACTGAAATGTCAAAAATGATTAAATCCCCATGAGAAATATTAAAAAATAATGCAATACAGAAATTGCAAAGTTAAGGCATGACCACTGGACAGCAAAATGCTCACTGGGACAGCGGGGTCAGAAAAAACAAACAAACAGGTGGAGAAGAAAATACATGTTAACTGCAAAAGTTTTAAGAATTAATGTGAAGAATTAGGTGTAAAACCATCAGGAAACATTTAGTCTCCAGCGCCACCATTTTCCAGAACTGCAACCTTCCCGGAGTCTCTAGATTTACAAGGTGTCAGGTTCTCAAAGAGACTTTGTTTGGGTAAAAAATCCTACAAAATGACCCTCACTCAATAAGAATAACATTCTGAAGTATTGTGAAATACATTAAGACTAATTTTTTATAGGCTTTATCGACAGATAAGTTGAAAGTGACTCTTGAAGGACTAGCACCACATCCTCTTGTACCACTGTTTGAAGAATTTATCTCCCAGAATCTGGCAGTAAGTTTTAGGAGCTAATTTTTAGTCAATCCTGCGAGACAGACTTTTCAGGATAGGAGATGGAATAAAAATTAGCTCCTAAAACGATCTACACTGAGATTGTCCTAACTAAATTATCAACACCAATACCACCAAGTAGCAATAGCAAGAGGCTAATCATGGATAAGTTTTTTTTTGTTTCTTTTGTAGCGTTATTGCCCATACCTTTATTTTCCAATCATCAATAGTAAGATTTACATTAAGAATGAAAAAAAAGAGACGAGTGCCCTAGTAAAAAAAAAAATAAATTAAAAGAAAAGCCATAATTTATTTCATACTAAGTATACTTCAAATCCATTAACATTTATTGACATATCACTTAAAAGTTACTAAAATAAAATTATAATTAAACTTTATTTAGAGTATTTCTGTACTGCACAATGCACATTTCTCAATATTATGCCTAAAATATGTTTTAATATCACTATTAATAAGGATTGCATGAATTCTGTATAATATTAGTCTATAAATGCAAGCTATTTAAAGTGTACCTGAAGTATACTTGCAATAGTCCCACTTTAGCAGTCAAATATATTTAAGTATATATTTAGTTGGACCTCAACACTACTTCTGCACAATTAAATTGCATTAAGCACAAAATTAGTTGTTCCAATTGATTAGACGTTAAGTATATGTGCAGGGTATTTTTATTAAAGCACATAAATATGTTAATGTATTTGTAGTATACTTGGCACAAAACAGTATTTCAAATACAAGTTAGTATCTTTTTTCACTAGGGTGCTCTTATATCAATCAACTACTAACTTTAGGGGTAACAGGCACGTTGCATTGCCACTATTATTATCCTCTGTAATGCATGATATATATAGGTGGAACAAATGTCTAGTTACTCATGGGTGATGAAGGATTGGAAAAGGTCGCCTGTACCATTTGTTTATGTGGTTTGGAGCTGTTTCGCTTCGCCTCCCTGGCTTTTTCTATGTCTTCAGCTGTAATGCCTCCCACATTCATAAGTCATTTAATAAATCTAATTTATATTTCAATAACTATTATAATTATTCAAACAAATTGTGACAACGGTGGACAGTTTACAGCAATACTTTGTAGCAACCCGTCTCATTACTACACAATTTAACTGATGCACTGTCACAGGTACACTGACTGTTTTACAACAGCATCAAACATTTTTCATCCAATCGAAATTTATAGCCATAACTATCCATTTTATAATAGAAACGAATACCATTTCTTGAGGTACCCACCTGGATCTTCTGCATGGCCACGCTCATGCCCTGTTCAGCCGTCATTTGCATGCTCACAGCTTGGAAGCCACTACTGCGCAGAGAGCTGGCCTGAGTCTCGATCACTGCCTGGCTGAGCTTGCCTAGGCCTCTCATCAGCAACAACATGTCGCCTGCCATGTTGGTTCCTCTTTACACCTACTATACAGGAGAAAAGGAAGTGATTCAATAGCCTCAACCGTTTTTAAGCTGACAAGGATGATAGAAAACAGTCACACTGATCTTATGTAGTTCAAAATGGAAAAAAAGAATAACAAATAAACTCACACATATAACATTAGTGGTACAATCAGTTGGTAAAACCATGGTACATACCATTGTACTGAATGATTACCATAATGGCATACCGAGTCATTTCAAAGAATATTATGGTACTACTATAGTACATGTATTACTGTTTCAAGAAAACAAAGGACAGCTGAAGTTTACCAATATTTAGTTGGACCTCAACACTACTTCTGCACAATTAAATTGCATTAAGCACAAAATTAGTTGTTCCAATTGATTAGACGTTAAGTATATGTGCAGGGTATTTTTATTAAAGCACATAAATATGTTAATGTATTTGTAGTATACTTGGCACAAAACAGTATTTCAAATACAAGTTAGTATTTTTTTTCACTAGGGTGCTCTTATATCAATCAACTACTAACTTTAGGGGTAACAGGCACGTTGCATTGCCACTATTATTATCCTCTGTAATGCATGATATATATAGGTGGAACAAATGTCTAGTTACTCATGGGTGATGAAGGATTGGAAAAGGTCGCCTGTACCATTTGTTTATGTGGTTTGGAGCTGTTTCGCTTCGCCTCCCTGGCTTTTTCTATGTCTTCAGCTGTAATGCCTCCCACAGAAGAGTGGTCCTGGTGATAGGACCGTGTTTGGGCTGCAAACGAACAGCGCGCATCTGAAGTGTCTCTGAAGGAAATAATGCATTATTTATCGGCTTTAAGATATCAGCCAAATTTTCTTATCAGGCCGATACCGATAACAGAAAAAATGAGCCGATATGGGCCGATACCGTTATGGTGGCCGATATATCGTGCATCCCTATACTGAATGATTACCATAATGGCATACCGAGTCATTTCAAAGAATATTATGGTACTACTATAGTACATGTATTACTGTTTCAAGAAAACAAAGGACAGCTGAAGTTTACCATACATACAGAGAAAACGTAAGAGCTAAAGAAAAACAAAAGTACTACAGCCATAACGAAAAAAACATTATAGCCATGTTTATATAGTCATATACATGGTGGCATAAAACAAAACACTGTATTACCACAGTGTATTTCCAATAAATTGTGGTTATATTCAATATAGCCTACATCACTGTTCAAAAGTTTGAGTCAGTAAATTTGTTCTGGAAAGAAATTAATACTTTTATTGAGAAAGTATTAAATTGATTGAAGATTCATTCAATTGATTAAAAAAATGACAGTAAAGACATTTGTCTACTTTTGAACTTTGTAATGATCAAAAAATATTAGTGCTGTCAAACGATTATTCGCATCCAAAATAAATGTTTTTGTTCACATAGTATATAAGTGTGTACTGTGTATATTTATTATGTATATATAAATACACACCCATGCAAGTATATATTTAAGAAAAATATGTTACGTTTATATATAAAATATATTTATATATAATAAAAATATATACATGTAAATACATGTATATTTTCAAAATATATACTGTATGTGTGTGTATTTATATATACATAATAAATATACACAGTACACACATTATGTACATAATTTTTTTTATTTTGGATGCAATTAATCGCGATTAATCATTTGACAGCACTAAAAAAATATATATATTAAACAGCACAAATACATAATTTTTTCTGTTAGTGCAGAGACACCAAAGCAATGTAATGTGGAGTGTAATATACAAGCAAAAACATGTATAATAATGCGTTGTATTTAATAGTGACTCATGTCGTCGCTTTAAATCAACACCAGAGTGTCATCAGCCATCAACAAAACAGCTGTTATCACAGTTCTTGGCAGCTCTATCAAAGGTTAAACGTTTTCACGATGAGACAAGTGTCAAAGCCTTTAGCCAATGACTAACTGTCTTACAAAGGGGCTGCAGACACTGAGTCCATCACAAGAAGCATATGAAGAGATATGAACCTGCGATTCAGTCCGAGCGCCCTTGTAAAACTTCATGATGAATGGGTTATTTTGTATTCTGTCAGCTCCCCACTATAAAACGCTCTTTACTTTCACAGCAAGGTGGAAAACGCAAGCGGTTTTGCACCAGTAAACTCTGAGGCTTCAGAGCAGAGAAACAAATAAGCTTAACCGAGGTGAGGCGTTGGATGACAGCCTGACTCTCCTGTAAATACAGAGCTTTAAACTTGGTTTTCCTGAGGTAAAGGTTTGCCTACAAGGAAAAAGCTCTCAAAAAGACCTTGAGCGACTTGGCAGGATAATGAACACACCTCGTGTGTGAAAACAGGTCAAAATTCAACGTTCCGTAACATTGTAGTCGAATACCTAATTCTGCGACGTGATCATCCCTCAATGGGCAACAGGAAGATAAGACATTAAAAAACAAGTAAGTAATACGTTTTCATTTCAAATAGTCTGGATATCCACAATTAACATGATTTCGGGTTCTTAACACTACTAGCACGTGGATAATCTCAATAAAGAGATGGCTCTCGAAGCACCACACTAACTGACCAGATGTTTGCTTTAGTCTTTCTACAACGTTTATGAGGATTAGCATTAGCAACGTACAATGAAATTCATGATAAACAATGCGTTCCATGTGAACAACATTTTCATTTGGTCATGCTCACGTTCGCTAATGTTGGCCCTGGGTGTAAATAAACGCTTGTTAAAGGGTTAGTTCACCCAAAAATGAAAATTGGCTTGTGTTTTACTCACCCTCGAAGCATCCTAGGTGTCTATAAATTTCTTCTTTCAGACGAATCCAGTCGGAGTTATATTAAAAATTGTCCTGGCTATTCCAAGCTCTATCATTGCAGTCAGCGGGTGTTGCAGTTGAACGGTCCACAAGTTGTCAAATAAAGCACGCGCATTCATAATAAAACGTGCTTCACATGGCTCCAGGGGGTGAATAAAGGCCTTCTGTAGTGAATCCATGTGTTTTTGTAAGAAAAATATCCATATTTCAAACGTAACAAACACTTTTATATCACTTCCGCCAACTGTCATATGTGGAAGTCGTTCTGGCGGATGTCGTAGCACGTCGGCGTTGCGTGATTAGTGACGAACGCAGAGAGACAACAAAACAAAACACCGGTCACGAATTAGAAGTACAAACCGAAGATTTGCAAAGAAAAATGTCAGAGGATTTCGATATAAGCCAAGAGGAGACTTGTTTTCCTTTGCTAAAGTAAGGAAACTTTGGTTTCTTTGCTCCTATAAACAAACTCGCGAGACTAGCATATCTCAGAGGCGCGCCTGCTGCGTACACCTTCCGCCGGAACTCCTTCTGTGTTTGACAGATAACGGAAGTGAGAGAAAAGTGTTTATTACGTTTGAAATATGGATATTTTTCTTACAAAAACATGGATTCACTACAGAAGGCCTTTATTCACCCCCCGGAGCCGTGTGAAGCACGTTTTATTATGAATGCGCGCGCTTTATTTGACGACTTGTGGACTGTTCAACTGCAATACCCGCTGACTGCAATGATACAGCTTGGAATAGCCAGGACAATTTTTAATATAATAATATAATATAACTCCGACTGGATTCGTCTGAAAGAAGAAAGGATGAGGATGAGTAAAACACAAGGCAATTTTCATTTTTGGGTGAACTAACCCTTTAACACACTTTCAATGTTCAAAAATGTGTAAACCCATGTTTTGTATCCTAATCTAGTGAACTAGGTGTGGTTTGGAAATACACCAGCATTCAGTACTGTTACACCTGAGCGAGGCCGCACATGCCTGGACATATCTGCATATTTGCAACCGAGACATTTAGCAGGTCAAACTGACAATGCTTATTGCAAACACTAAACGCTCTCTGTTGGTTAACAAAGGAACACGTTGCCAAAGTTTCAGAGACCCACTGTGGAACAATTGCAACATGTTTAAGGCAATTAAACGTACATACTTGCATTCAATACGGGTCGAAATACAATACCATACAAAAAAAGTATTGGACATATCCAAATCTCAATCCAATGTTGCAATATGTAAAATATGACTGTGAAATCAGTGAAACGCCTGTGTATGTTATTAAAGACTACACATGAAGTTCTACAAAGAAAGTGCCAGACAATCTTAGCCCATCTCATATCTTTCAACTGTCAACACCCTCTCGTTTCCTTCACAGCCAAAACAATGGCTGCTGCTCCTCCCCAAAACAGGACAGGCATCTTAATACATCACACACTGAGGTGTCAGACAGATAACCATGAAACAAGCAACAAATGTCAGCCATTTTAGGACTCCCTATTCTATTGCAAGGCAATCGCAGCTGTAAAGTCATATAGAAGCGGAATATGAGTGATGATGACAGGTTGAAATATGCTTCGAGACGCAGGCCTTGTGGCAGGAAATCACCAAGAGGCCATGCTAGTATAAGTGAACCTAAACAACACATGCAAATCACAGCCAATCAGACAGTTAGTTAGGGGAAACACCCATTTTTTTTTCTGTTTGTATAGCTGTGGTCAGGTTGTGTGAGTAACACCTAAACACTGTGGCACATGGTTCCTAGTTAATAATATGCTAACAGGAATGTTGACAAAATCATGACTGATAATCATACATAAATATGTATGAATTCATCGCATCTATAAAAACAAAATCAAATATAATAATGAACTTATGCTAAAATCCACTAATTAAGCATATTATAAACCTGCATTCCTACACATTTTAAATTAAATAAACGTAAATAAGGCCCTTATTTACATAAACAATTTATTCAAATAAGCAATTCTTTTTATGATTTAATTGTCATCTGCCTGAGGCATTAATTGCATTTGCAGTGAAGCAATAATGCAAAATCAAAACAAGCCACATTAATTGTGCCCTTCAGTCGGGTCATTTAAGTTAAAGTCTAGGCCGGTGCTGACGTTTAGTATCCAAGCAGCTCTGCAAAAAAGATTATAAACAAAGATTTGGCTTAAGGCTTATGGGTTTTGCAAAGAGGTGATCTTCACAACAGCTGCCTTCATTTCATTTAGTTAACACATTAACACATCTCTGAGCTCGCTTTGTTTAAACGGCACAGAATGGCCTGCAAAAAAATCATTTAATTTAATTTATTTAGTCATCATTGTAGTTTTACTTTCCTTTAAAATGATCTAAACATTCTATGCACTTGAGAAGCATATTTGTGAAAGACATTTTTTTTATACTATTCAGGAAATATTGCATTAATTACACATCATTTACTTCATTGGCTAATAGTTTTTTGTTTGTTCAAAGCATTTTCTTTTTAGATGTCTGCTTATTCTTCAACTAGTTTGCAAATAGGGTAAGAAAAATCATCTTAAATCAAGATGCATTATCTCGCTTCTCAATCAAAAGCTTAGATGTTTAGATATCTTTCCTGGAAAACAAGACAAAATACTGATACAAAAAAAAAAAATCATGCATGCCATATCTCAACTTGTTTGTGCCAACGCTTACTGTTTTGCAAGATTTCTGGCACAAAATATTAGCTGCAATCCTAAAGCATTAAAGAGGAAGGGAAAATATGTAGTGTAAACAGGCCTTGTGCTTTAACAGAGTTTTGCATACCAATAAACAATAAATAATAAATAAATTATACAATATTACTGTATGCAGAGGTGTTTGGTTATCATGCATGCCATATCTCAACTTGTTTGTGCCAATGCTTACTGTTTTGCAAGATTTCTGGCACAAAATATTAGCTGCAATCCTAAAGCATTAAAGAGGAAGGGAAAATATGTAGTGTAAACAGGCCTTGTGCTTTAACAGAGTTTTGCATACCAATAAACAATAAATAAATTATACAATATTACTGTATGCAGAGGTGTTTGGTTAATTAAAGGAATATTTAAATGCTACTACATAATGTTCCCATGACCACGTGGACAGAATCAAAACACATGCACAACGCACGTGTAACCTCACCAATCTATGCAAAGAAATATTATAGAAGCATACAATATTATGCGCATCCAGATCAAAACATGCAACCGACGACACGTGTGTTTTGCCCGTCTGTTAGCCAGCGATCTAAAGTACACGTTACTTAAAAACAATCCGCGCTCTTTTCATTCCAGATTATCAATCAATTACTTAAATACAATCATATAAGTTTCTTCATCCTAAGAAATGAGCTTTATTGGTACTTACCCCCAGAATTGGCAAATATGTAGCTGTGTTCACTGTGCAGCTCTTTTCGCGCTGTATCTGCGTCCATGAGCTGAGAGCTGTTTACCCTTCTCAAGTGTGCTTGTCAGAGCTGTTTAGCCCCTCCTCTACTCGGCTGCTATTGGTTGCTCAGTAGTAGCGTCACTACAAGAAGGCGGTGCTTAGAAACTTTATCTGGGATTTTATTGGTTCTATTCTTCTTCACTCAACGAAAGTTGACGAAGGACAAACATTTTATATAATACACTCAAAACAAAGGACGTTTTAACAGTTATATTATGCGATAGTGAACTAGTAGTAAATGTTTTAGGAACAAAATAATTAATTAATTTGGTAAAACTGTTTTGATTGTTTATTATTGGCTATTCATAAGCAGATGCATTACGAGTATTAAACCGATCATCAAGATAATTGTCACAAAATAATATAACTTTTATGAATTTTGAAGCCAAAATAAAAGCGCCAGAACTTAAAAGCTACACTTAGGCTATAAACGAACTACAGCACCACGGTCGCTCGCCTTCAACATCACCAGCACCTGCTCCCGACAACTTCAAACTTCTTTTTAACACGTTCAGTGAAAAGGATTTACTCTGTATATGAATTGTAATCCACGCTACATGAACATTTTCATATAAACTGGAATAAATACAAAATTAGAGCCAAACTAAAACTGAAATGAGACATTAGTAATAAATAGTATAGTGAATAAATGAAATAATCATAACTAAAGGACATACGAAAGCTCGCATTTCTGTACATTTCGAAATAAGGTGCATTAAAAGTGAATACGGCTTTGATTAATATGAATATTTTAATTAAAAACGTGTCTCCACGTACCATTCAATCAAATTCTAGTGCATTTAATCTATTAAATAACAGAGCGAGCGCGTTTTTGGATATGGTAAGATTAAACTTATTTTAGTGAATAAAGTACCACATTTCAGCTATCGTTTTGTTAGGGTGGGTACACAGAATGTTATTTTATCCTTGCTTCTAGAAAATCCGGAATCGATATGTTTTCTAACAGCTGCTTGTGGCCGTAAACATTTCATTTGAACGTGGCTTTAAGCACTATGCATCGTTAAAGTTTCACTTTCACCGCGACTAAGCCGGTAAATGTGGTGTTTACATGGACTAATCAAATGAGTTTACCACACGGTGCGAACCCCGAGTCTCCGCATCAGTAGAACAGCGATAAAACGAGCATCTTCCATCCGAAGACAAGTGTTGCATTCTGGGGCAAAGCAAAAAAATTAAAAATTAAAAAAATCGAACAACAATATAAAATGCGGTAAATTATTAATCGGTTATTCTACAATTAATTGTACTATAAATTATACTACAATTGTAATATACTGTAAATTGATAAACTGTTCGGCGTGATGACGTCATATGTCTCCGACAGCGCCTGTAGTCCCATTTAGCAATTTGTTAGCAACCGTCTTTTTAAAGAAACGTAACAGTTTTAAAAAATCACGAGTGGGGTGTAACTAGTGTGTTTTATGTCGTGGAATAAAACGTGAACGTATCTTGAGCTTGTGTGAACCACTGACCTTATTTTAGGGGACTTAACCAAACTCCCGTTCAAAAACCCCATTGATTCTGGGACGATGGAACCGGAAGTGCTAAAATGCTAACTTTCTTCCGGGTTTTTGCCTACAAAGTGACATCATAGTTCCACCACTCTAGTCTATAAAACAGCATAATGCCCATATTTGATCCTTTACTGTCATCTAGTGGTTCAATATCCCTACCCACATGAGGGAAATGTTCAGGTTGGTCTAAAAGAACACAGAGGTGATTATTATTGCCCCAAAATAATTCACAGAAACTGAAAAGCGTGTATCTGAATGTAACAAAAATATACGAATCAATAAATAAATATAAATATATTTATACTGCCTGACAGGATAATCATATATAATCGATCCTGCAATGCAGGGTATTTGTGAGGGGAAAAAAAGTGAGTCTCACACATATAATAACTATCTATTATATTATATTATAAAAATGTAGTTGCATTTCCTGTGATTTACCACTAGGTGGATAAATAAGTAGGACATGTCATATATATTTAGATTCTGTTATGAGTGGTGAGTTCAAATATTAGATGACAGTTATGAATTTTCATTTGTTCGTTTGTTTATTTAATTGGATGTAGGCCATTGCATCTATAATCATTAACATGCTAAAATTATAAATAAGGCTGTGTTTTGCCCATAGTTCAGTCTACTGTTCCATGTTGTCGATATTGGGGTTGTCTAGCCTGCATGTAAAAAAAGTTGTGTGTTACCAGATGAAGCTGGACATTAAACTTAATGAAACATAAACTTATCAAATATACTGTACAATATGTTGACATACAGTAAGCTACTGTGTAACTTCATACATTTAGTAGGCATTACAAAATGTGTGGGAAAATATATATTTGCAATGGTGCATCAACATAATAAGTTAGATATTTGCAAAGCTTCAAAGAGACCATTTCTCACACTTCTGCTTCTGCAAGGCTGAATCATCAACCAATGCAATACTCAAAAATTCTCAAGTAATTTGAACAATCATGTTTTAATGCAAGACGTTCATTGTGCAACTTCTCAGTCTTAACACTTATTTAGTTTAATGCTGGTATAGCTGGTTTCTTCCTAACTCATTTGAAATTCATATATATGAGCTCTACGATTGCACGGACATGACTTTATGGGTGCTGCAGTTGATAGGGAAATGTTGGTGGAAATGAATTATGTTGGCTTGAGGGCTCACATGTCGCCCATATACTGAAACTTCGAAAGATCTCAGAGACAGCTTTACTTTGAAGAAAGGAATCTTGTTATTGAACATAGTCATGCACCCCGTCTCAATCATAGAGGATGGAAAATTTATTTTCATACCACCTATCTGCAAGCCTGTCTCATTCAAATCAGAATGGCCACTGAAGCATTATATTTTCCATCCACTTTACTGGTGCATATGACACACTTTCCTTTGCTCGGTGGGGCTGGTCATCAGTGCATCAGATCAGAGCGATGTAATCATACTGTACATTGGGAGCAGTACTAGGAGTTGTTGTGGTAGGTGAACTATATATTAGCAGGTCAGTCCCAGTTAAAGAACTGGCTTCATATCATCATTTCTGACCTCTGACAGAGTCTAGGCCTGTTTTTATGGTTTTCATGAGCATACATCAGAGAAGACATTCCCAATGAGCTACTAAGACCCTTCTTCTGCTTAGTTGGTGAGTCATTCAAACTACAAATACTGGCTGTTAAAAGAATTTATGGGTAACACTTAATAACAACTTTCATTAATAATATCAGCACATATAACTACATAATGCTTAATAGTGAGGATGCAAATATATTATGGATTACGAACGACTAAACATATTAAATTAAGAATCAAATATTGAAAATGTAAGTAGAAAGAGAGCAAGAACTCTTTTGTTGCATCTTTTTTAAAAACACGATACTCATATATTTATATATTTGATATATTAATATTAAATATTTAAAGTGGGTATATAAGTTACATATATAACACATGTACCCTCTTTAAAATATGCTATATTAATAAAAAAATATACACAGCAATATTTATTTTAGAAATAAAAATACATAAATATACAAAAATAAAAATACATTAATACATTATAATACAATAATTATATATGTACAATACTTTTATTTTAAATTAATATTTGCATTATGTTTCACTTGAATATATATATATCATTTGCATGTTTGACAGTAACATTATATATATATATATATATATATATATATATATATACTGAATTTGTGTTATGTATTTATGTGTGTGTGTGTGTGTGTGTGTGTATATATATATATATATATATACACTGAATTTGTGTTATGTATACATTTGTGTGTGTGTGTGTGTGTGTGTATATATATTTATATGTGTGTGTATATATATATATACTGAATTTGTGTTATGTATTTATGTATTTGTGTGTGTGTGTGTGTGTATACATATATACATATATATATATATACACACACACTATAAAAAATCTAACTAAAAGCTACACATTTTATGTTGATTGTTGCTTTGAAAATTTTCAGTTGGTTCATCTAAAGTACTAAAATTGTTCAAATACATTGTTCACACACACACACACACACACACACACACACACACACACACACACACACACACACACACATATATCTCTCTCTCTCTCTCTCTCTCACACACACACATCTCTCTCTCTCTCTCTCACACACACATATCTCTC